CTGTGTTTGGTTTTTAAAGAAACTCTTCAGTAGAAGACTTTTTTTCCCCCAAAAATGTTTGTGTCATTATACTTCCACCTGCAGTACATGAGACTTCCAGTTGTTTCACACGTTCATCAGGTTTGGTATTATCATTGTTTTTATTTTTAACCATTCTAATGGATATCTAATAGTGACTCATTATACTTTGAGTTTGCATTTCCTGGAAATTCAACATATTTATTGACATGGTTAGATATAGGTCAACTGTTTTGCTATTTATTTTTTGCTTGTTCTATTTTTGATTCTCAGTTTTTCCTGTCTTGTTTTGGGTTATGTACTCTTTAAGAAACTTATTTTAATTCATTTACTTGTTTCTTAGTGATACCTCTTTGCATCATTTTTTCAGTGGTTATGCTAACGATTATAATATATCCTTAAATTTTCAGTGTTGTACTACTTACATAAAATTTGAGACTCTTGGGCAGCCCGGGTGGCTCAGCGATTTAGTGCCACCTTTGGCCCAGGGCCTGATCCTGGAGACTGGAGATCAAGTCCCACGTTGGGCTCCCTGCATGGAGCCTGCTTCTCCCTCTGCCTGTGTTTCTGCCTTTGTGTATGTGTGTGTATGTGTGTGTCTGTGTGTGTGTGTCATGGATAAATAAATAAAATCTTTAAAAAAAGTTTGAGACTCTTATAAGACTTCATATATATACATATATATATATACACAAATCACATAATACATATAATATATAACTATAAATATATTTATATAAGTAAATATTTATGCTATAGTGTTATACATCTTACATCTTCATGTTATAAACTATAATACTACTTACTCCTTAAATAATCGAATGTATTTCAGTGAAACTAAGAAAAAAAAAAAACAGTAACATTTACCATTCCCACTATTCTTCATTTTTCTCTTTCTTTTTCTTTGTCTCTATCTCTTTTTGTTTTCCTCAGACTTCTGGTATTATTTTCCTATTTTGTTCTACTAAATTTTATTTTAGCATTTTGATGGAGCAGGTTGGCTGGTGATGGTTTCTCTTAGTTTTCATATTTCTGAAAAAATCCTTTTTCATTTTTAGAAGATATTTTCACTGGATATAGAATTCAGTACTTTAATGATATCATTCTACTGTTTTCTGGCATCCATTGTTTTAATCATATGTCAGTAGTTTGTATTATTGTTTCTGTGTTTGTAACGTGTTATTTCTTTCTGGATGCTTTCAGGATTGTATCTTTATTTTTGTTTTTCAGCAGTTTGACATGCTATCCACACAGAGACATGGTTTTCTTTGTATGTGTCCTGCTTAGGGTTCACTGAGCTTCTTGAATGTTTGTGTCTTTAACCATTTGGGGGAAATTTTCAACAATTACTTCTTGAGATATTTTTTTTCTGCTTCATTCACTGTCTCTTCTCCACTTCAGAGATCCTAAGTTCATATTTGTTAGTTACTTTGATATTGCTCCACAGGTGCCTATTTAATTTTCCTATCAATCTTTTCTCTCTGTTCTTTAGGTTGGATACATTCTCTTGCTGTGTCTTTATGTTCCAGACTCAACTGTCAGCTCCAATCTGTTTTACCCATCAAATAATTCTCTTTGTGATACTTTATTTTATAGTTTTATAATTTCCCCTTGATTTCTTTTTAGTTTTTATCTTTTTTTATTTGTCATTTATTGCAGGTTTATTTTCTTTTATATTCTTGAGTATAATTATAACAGCTACTTTAAAATCCCACATTGATCAGTTAATATCCAGGTTATTTTATTCTCCATTGAGTGTAAGTCAAACTTTCTTTGAGACTCAGTGGAGACCAAAATAATGCCTCCTCTCTCAGTTCTTCCTCGTCAATTTCATACATTGTTGCATGTCTAGTAATTTTCAGTTATATCCTGGGCATCATGGGTACTAAGTGCTAGAGATTTTGTGTTCTGTTATATTCCTGTGAAGAATTGTTGGTGTTAATAGTGGTAGTGATGTGGGTATGTGAGTTAGGCAGGCGCTTTGCTATTCTACACTAAACTCTAAACTTCAAACTCAAACTCCTCTTCATTGACGGCAGCCAGAATCTCGCCTCAGTTCACCTAGCTTTAACTGGATTTCTTGGATTCAGTATCACAGACAAATAGATTTGGGTAAAGTTTATATGCTGAATTTGGGGCTTTCCTTCTTTGATTTTGCCCTTTTTTGGTATTTCCTTCCTGACTTTGTACCTACTTTGGATGCCCTTAACTCTGGCCTATATTTCTTAAAGTCTCTAAGGTCATATGTGAACTATACTGAGTAGGGCCTGCCATTATACCAAAAAAGTAAAAACAGGAAACTCAAGACACTGCCATTTTCTTCTTCTTCTTCTTCTTCTTCTTCTTCTTCTTCTTCTTCTTCTTCTTCTTCTTCTTCTTTCTTCTTCTTCTTTCTTCTTCTTCTTCTTCTTTCTTCTTTCTTCTTTCTTCTTCTTTCTTCTTCTTCTTCTTCTTCTTTCTTCTTTCTTCTTTCTTCTTCTTTCTTCTTTCTTCTTCTTCTTCTTCTTCTTCTTCTTCTTCTTCTTCCTCTTCTTCCTCTTCTTCCTCTTCTTCCTCTTATTCTAAATATAGGCACTCCCCTTTCCAGTATCTGCCTGGTTTTGATCAGTCTCTATCACTTCCATGTTCTTGTTTTTTATAATTCATCTAAATTGATACTATTATCTAAAACTCAGAGAACCATTTGCCATTACAAGTAGTAGAGCCATTCCAAGATATAATTTTATAATGGTAGTAAGCAAATTTTAGGTTTAGCTTCATATCTGGGTTCCTCTTCCATTTATAAAACAACAGAACTCAGTGCTTATTTATTGGGGGGAAATTTGAAGTATAAGGAACTTCTAATGTGAAGTAGTTTTAAATAATTTTAGCTATAGTGCTCCAGCTCACTCAGTAACTAAAACTAGGATAACAAAGTGTTACCTAAAAGACCTCTTCAGTGGACTTGCTTTACTAAGTATATAAGAAAAAGTTGTAATTAACCTGATATAATTATGCCTACATACATAAAAAATTTAAGAATCTCAAAGACATATATTTTTTTCTCATAAATATTTAAACATTTCTCTCCTAATCTTGTTGAAAGCTATTACATTAGAGTTGTTTTATAGCAAAGGTTTCCTGAGTAAATTAAGTATTAGCTTAGTTCATATCTGAATTCTTATAAATTCAAAATCAGTGACATCAGAATAATGTCCCACTTTAAAGCTATTAATTATTTCTCTGTTTATTCCTCCAAATCTTTCTACATTCAGACTCTTGCTGTGTTTTCATTTTTACTCCCTAGAAACTTCCACTATGGTGGTAACATGGTACAGTTTATTCTACATAAAAAAATTAAGCCTCTATATATAAGCTATGTGTCCTAGAAGCCAAGAGATCTGATGTATAGCCATACTGATACTGTCGCTATAATCTTGGGGAAGTCCTTTATCTTCACTTTCTCATCCATAAAATAGGTTGGGAGTTGGAAGAGTTTAGAATAGATGTTATCTTACATTCCTTCCAGATTTAATAATGTATGAATCCTTAAATTTAGTGATTCTCTTGTCTTCTCCTTAAGTTGTTTTTCTAGTTTTAATTTCCTTAAAGAAAAGAGTTTTCTTTAAAAAAAAAGAAAAAAAAGAAAAGAGTTTTCTAGTTATATAGAATACAGTTTTAGCAATTAACATCTCAATTAAACTTTGAAATTAGAAAATTAACTATTAAAATTAACTATATCATTTACTGTAACCTTTGGCCAAAGAATGGCCCATCTTCATCTGAAAAGAAATCCTCCATAAACATGAAACTCTGAGAAAACTATGTGTACAACAGTGAGTAGAAGGAAGACACTTGCCACTCAGATTACATATCAACCTTTATGGTCCATGAGTAGTAAAAGTATTAGTAGTAGTAGTAATAATCTTTCATTCACTCCAATCTGAGATGTTACTCTGTAAGAATGAATGTTTCAAGTTTAACAAAAGATCTAGTCCACAATTATGTGGAAAGAATAAGTGGCAATTATCTGAGCTTCCAGTTCCTTCTTTATAAATTTGGATTTCCCTAGCAAGGGAAAGGCTGAGAAAGGATAGGATAGCTTAACTTGCCAACAATTTTTTTAAAGCATCAAGACAAGTATAGGCAGCAACAGAAGTTTCAATATAGCTTCTTAGGACACAGTTGAGAGTTCAAACTGCTGAGAAATTTTATTCAGCATAAGCCAGCAAGGATAAGCAGAGGCACAGTGCTCAAATCCAGGGATGTTAGGATTCCATATAATACTTACTCTCCAATACCCAGCATCAGCTTCTGGATGAAAATACACACGTAAGATGAAGTGGAAGCATACGAGAATAGAGTATGAATGCAGCCATGAGGAAAAGGACCTGACATATGAGAAAGAACTTTACCAAGCAGCCTGTACTTGATTCCAGGAAATAATCTATTTTGGCAGAGATTTCAGCACTCTTTAGACTCAGTATGTTGTCAAATATAGGTTTCATCTTTGAAAATTTAAAAATAAAGAATATCCTATTAAGTGTAGGCATACTCAAAATAGGAAAGATGAACTGGTATATGAATCTAGCATTCTTCAAATGTGTTCACAGCATATAAAAGATTTTTAAATATTAGAAGACAAATATATAAATTTAATGCTTATTCTTCTGAAACAATTTTGAAGAATATTAACAAAATGCTAGAGTCACTGTGAAATTAAAAAGTCTCAACTTGGTATGAATTTTGAGTTTAAATGGGTTAAAAATACCTTGGTGAAGGCCTGGATGTTGACAAAAATGTAAAGAGGTCTGTTGAGGTGGAAGCAACACTGGAAATAAATCATTTCAGATTTAAGGGTTCCCTTCCAAAGAACTCATGGGCAAGTCAAGAAAGAGTAGAAGTGCATATGGCAACTTCATGCTGTTTGCAGTTGCTTAATTATAGCAAACAAACCTGAAATTAACAAAACAGAAAAATCTAATATTTTTCACAACATTGAGTATTTCCATTTTTATGTAAGTTAACTTCATCTTTTTGGAAAAGATCACAATTCAACCATAAGTTTCTAGCTTATGCTTCCCTCAGTGTTCTGAAATCCCATTTGATTATCATGCCAGAGGTCCTGAGAGATTTTGACCAAATGTTCTATCTTTTAACCAAATGTTTTATCTTTTGATAAAAACCAAATTTATTTCGGAAAGACAGGAAGAGTAGAATCTTAGATTGGCCATGGAGGAAAGACTTGAAAAACAAACCCAAGCTGCAAGGAGAAAGGAGATGCCATAGAGGAACTTTCCACCTGACATGTAATATGCAGGATATTGACCTTCTTGATGTCTCTGTTTTGTATTTCCACTTGAGTTTCCACTGGAAAACTCAGCTCTAGATCCAGCTAAATATTTGCATTCATTTCCACAAATGATGGAATGCCTCAGCCATTAATGAATCTTTATTAGTCATGTTCATCTTTTGGGGCCAGATGGACTCAGAAAAGGACCTTTACCCTCATCATACCTGATAATTGCATTTCTTCTAATATATTCCAGATGACACAAAGCATTTGGAATAAGAACTGAAAAAGCACTCAAAAGAAAAAAATCCTGTGTACTTTTTTATCAGTGCCAAGTGAAGGATTGAGATAACAGTTTATGTTGTTGTGGGCATAGCAGTTCTGTTATTCAGAGTGTTGTTGGAATGAAATTGAGGATACTCTAGAGTCAATTCCTATTTGCTTATTTCATATCTTTTTAAAATAATAAAAATAAGATCTGCTTTGTTTTATATTTTGTATCTTATTTCAGGTTCAGCTTGGATAATTAGCTGATGCTCTCATTGAATGAGAATTTTTAAATTTTTTTTACTAGTTCTGAGAAAACCACACATGAGGTACAGAAAATACATATGAAAAGTACAGAAGGATATACAATGAAAAATGTATCTTCTAGTCCCTGTCCTTTAGATACCCATTTAGCCTCCAAGAGATAAGGGCTATTACTGAGTTTTGGTATACCCTTGCAAAATATAGTCTATGCTTAAGTGAGTATGTAATGTTCAGCCTTTTAAAAAAAATAAATGGTAACATAGTGGATACCTTGCATTTTCTCACACAGTACATCTTAGAGATAGTTCCATGGGAGTGTGCATGGAACTCCCTTGTTGTTCTTGGTGGTTGCTATAGTTTCATTAAATGGATATATAATAATTTATTTTAGTGTTCCCTCATTGTTGAACATTTAGTTCATCAATCCTAGTAATTCTGCAGTGAGTGTGTGTTTATATGTGTGTGATAGATGTATAGGTATATAAAATTTTGTACCTGTGTAATATATCTGTAGGACAAGTTCTTTGATGTGAAATTGGGTCAGAAATGATTATGCATTTTCATTTGATAAGATTTTGTCAAATTACTATCCATAGAGGTCATATTAGTTATACTCCTACAAGGAATTATAAAAGTGATAATTGTAGTAATTATCAGCAAAACAAATAATTATTATGTGACTTAAGTAATACACAAACTAGTGTTTCTTTCTTTTGATTCTTTAATGTTAATGACTGGCATCTGGCATCCATTGCAGTTTAAAGCAGTTATGATTATTATCCCAGTTTGACAGATGAGGAAACCAAAGCGCAGAGATATTGCGTAACTTGACAGAACTGGTAACTGATAAGATCTGGATCAGGTATTTGGGAAACCAGAGCCTGCAACTGAACTTAAATCATATAACACACATTTCTTCAGCTGGTATCCATACTCTCTTTGCAAATATCTTTCTCTTCCTTGTATCTTTTTGTACTTTCAAACCTGCCTTTTACACATGAAGCCAATGAAAATAGAAAGGTTTTGTTTTATTTTGTTTTTGCCCTGAGGGCACCTAGAAAATTAGGAACCAAGTTAAAATGATCATTTATGACAGCCCCCAGTATTACAGATAAATATATAGCAATTTTATATTTTTCATTTTAAAATTGATGACCCTCATGTTATTTCAGAAATATGCCCAACAAGCTCCCAAGAAACATTTATAATAATAAATGTTCAAATGTTTTTTAAAAAAAATAGCTTCCTGTGGTTCTTTCAACAATCCCATGACACTTCTCATCTGCACGCGAGTGGCTATATTCTTTGGTACCTTGACATGCGGGCCTAGGTGAAATATTGTGGGCATAAAAATTGCATTTGGTAGGTCTGCTAGGAAGGGGTCATGTAAAAGTCATCTTTGATTTGTTAATGGAATCTTTTTTTAAATGTAGAGTATGGCAGTAGGGACATGCATCCTAAAGGGAGAAAAACATCCATTTTATAAAAGTTTATTTTCATATTTTATACACTGTAGTTCTGTTGTGTGTTTTTGATTTAGTAACAATTTATGTGTTTTTCTGTCGCAGAGCACTGCGGCCTGTGGTGTTGAGGCTCACAGCGATGCCATCCAGCCCTGCCACATCAGAGAGGCCGTCCGACGCTACGGCCACAAGATTGGCCCCCTTTCCCCATTCACAGTACGTAATAACAGAGTTATAAAAAGTTATATTTATAATCTGAAAGAATTTTGATTTTCAAGTGGTCAAATGAAGAAGCAATGGAATTGTTGAAAGCAATTTGTGGTGACGGTAATTTTGTTGTATAAAAGTGGCATAATTCTCTTGGGAAATAAAAGTTAGTCATTTTTGTCTCTTTTTGGAAGGATGATTCTTTTCTACAAAATATTATTTTCTTTCAATTACAAATTATGCTTTTTTTGTTGGGGCTTATATTTTCTATTTTTCAAAGCTTAGGTTTATAAAACTTTTCTGTCAAATTATATGTATCCAAATATTGCTAGAAGCACTTTATATTTTAAAATTGGTTAGATTGGCAATACCACTTCTATCAGATGTCCTGCTCCTAAACATACTTTGAGTTGGAAGAAGAAGAAATGATTTCTTTACTGGCTTTGAAGTAGGCTGAAATGCAGATAGTCTTTCACATCTTCAAATGGTTTTAAAGCTTATAATCAGAGTTTGTTGTGTTTTTTTTTTTAATGGAGAATTAAAGACTTTATATTTCAACAGCTTAAAGAAAGTGTGTGTGTGTGAGAGTATATGTTTTAATTAAGTGCTCATCTTGTTGCCTTTTTAAAAAAAAATCTTTATTCATGTTAATAGAACTTTCTCAAAAAAAAAAAAATAGAACTTTCTCCAAGTCTTCCACTGTTTATGAGGCACCGGTTTGATTTTCAGAACATGAGGTTGGATTTAAGACTGAGGAACAGTAGAATTTACTGTTTGTTTGGTTTCTTCATATTCACTTCTGCTTTAATATATCAAAGCAGAGTATGTACATATAACATCAACATACATACATACATACATACATACATACATAAGTATAACATAGTATGTGTTTTCTCCTAGGAGTGGATTTTACTATTATCTATTGATAAAAATCATGATTTCTTCTACATTAGATCATCTCCTTTTCCCCTGCGTTTTAGTTAAAGGGTATACTTTCTTTCCATTCTTTATTTTCATTAGCTAATTGTATGGGTATCTCATTGTGACAGCAAGCATGTATCAGAAACTTTTTATGTATGTCTCCAGAAGCTTTTTTTAATGGTAACTATTATTTCCACTTGTGTTTAGCATTTAAAATCTGTCTTCTATATTATGAGAACATGATTTCAATACTGCCAATGAAAGCAATATATACTTCTGCATGAATATTTTTAGATTATTGCAATTGAAAAGGCAGAATGAAATCAGATATCTCTTGTTTTATTTTTTCTGCAAGATAGGTGAGACTATTTTGAGTGATGAGCCAAAAGAAAGATGAAATTTAGAAAAATAGGAGATGATTGGAAGAATTTAAAAACTGAAATTGAAAGAGCCATCTTCTAACAAAGGATTAAACATATCAAGTCCATATTTAAGAGCCAAATAATAACTAAAAGATTGAGGCAATGGAATGGAAAGAGAAGGAAAAGGAGGCAGTGTTAGTAATAATCTAGAAGGCATTAAAGAGTAGCAAGGAGAAGCTGGATTTTTGAGAAAGAACCTAAAATGGTAACTAAAATAATAGATAAAATTACATGAAGGAACATGTATCTAATATAAGGGAGAATCTCCCTATCATAAAGTCTTTGATATTTCCTTAAGAGGAAGCAGTAGCTGCTTCATTGTTCCATGTTTTTTGTACTTCACTACACTGGACAGATTATTTAACCATCTTAGTTGATGACATTGTGTGCATGTGTTTGTATGTGTATTCATTCCTTCATGTCTAACTCGTACTCTGTTATTCATGTAATGTTGCTTTTACATGGTCAGAAAATATACTTGAAACTAAGCTCAGATATAGTTTAAGCTAATTTTCATTTAATAAACATATAACAATTATGCTTTTCTAAGTTAATGGTACAATTGTAAAATGCTCAATTTAAATAGATCTGGAAAAATAGAACACATAAACCATGACCTGGAAGGTTCACTTAACCACTGCCAGAATGACAGCAAATGGTAAAAAATCACCAGAGAGGGGCATCTGCATTTTTATCACTCCTCAGAAAGGACCCACTTTGAGAGGTCTGCTTCATTACCTAGAGCTATAATAATCTGCCCGGCCTGCAGGACTGAATGTGCCTACTCTGTCTTATATCATGATTAATATGATCTAACTGTTTTAGACACAGCTTCATGGTATACATAACAATACATAAATCTTCCCTCTTTTTCATTTGAAGTATCATTGACACACATTAATTTCAGGCATACAACAAGGTGATTCAGCATCCCTGTATATCATGCTGTGCTCACCATCTGTAGTTACCATCTGTCACAATATCATTGACTATATTCCCTGTGCTGTACCTTTCATAAATCTGCCTTTTAAATTAGTTAAAAATTCTCTTTAAAATGGGAGAGATTTGCAGACTATGTATCTAACATTATGGCCATCCTGCCCTGGCTCCACAGACCTTCAGCTGCTAAAAGGAGGTGCTTCTGATGGGGGTGGGGATGTTTATATCCAGTTTCCTGATGCCCACTTCTGGAGATCATACTTCATGCTGCACTAGGGACTCTTTGCCACCTAGGCTTTGAGTGGCAACTTGTAAGAAGAGAGGAGACGGCCAACCTGGGTGGCTCAGCGGTTTAATGCCGCCTTCGGCCCAGGGCATGATCCTGGAGACCTGGGATCGAGTCCCACGTCGGGCTCCCTGCATGGAGCCTGCTTCTCCCTCTGCCTGTCTCTCTCTCTCTCTCTCTCTCTCTCTCTCTCTCTCTCCCCCCTCCCTCTCTCCTCTGTCTCTCATGAATAAACAAAATCTTTAAAAGAAAAAAAAGAGAGGAGGAAAATGGTTTGCCTCTATAGTAACCATAGATCAAGACCTAAATTTTCGTACAGAAAGGCTGAGCTCGGTTACCTCCAGCATAACATTTCCTGCATAAACTAAAATGTTCATGAGCAACTAGTTTATATTTATGAATCATAGAGATTTTGTCTATGTACCTTGTAATTCCAAATCTAAAGTGCTTGTCTGATGTATTTGTAGATGTGATATCTAATTTAGAATATCCATAACTTGATTCATGTGTAGCAATTCCCAATAATTGGGAATGGATTTTGAAAATTAAAATAACAACCAGTATGTTACGCAGAAATTTAATTCCAATATCAATCAATAAACCAGTAAAATTCTGCTTTTAGTGAGTCATCACCCTGTCTCCTACTGTATTATGACTTTTGACATAATGTTATACAAAATCACAACTTGATCAATTTCAGAACTACAGTTCATTGCGTAAAGAATTGTGAGCTCTTCACCTTGGGAATTAGTTGAAATGATAGAAGACAAGACTGATTGAAGCCGTGTTAGGTGGAGGTGACGAAGAAGAGCATAGATGATGCTTTGCACAGAGTAGCTGCTGGCACAGAGAGGATAAGGGCACAGAGCAAAAGCATCCGCTGCTTGGCTGGGAGGATATGCATGTGGTAGAGACACTTATAAACTTCCATCTCCACTCAACCAGTTAGAACCGTACTGTGTTTAGCATATTAGTTTTAGTTGGTGATTTCTTTCTTTTCTGTGTTCTCATTTATTCTCAATCCTATGCAGAAAATCAGAGAAAGTATTATACTTAGAGGATTGAGGTAATTTTTCTGAGGTGAAGCTATTAATTAGACTAAATGATGGAACCAAGGCTAAAACTCCCTAGCTCCAAAATCTCCCTAAAACATACTTTTGCTGCTGCCCCATCCCTATAAACCTGACTTTCTGTATATGCATATTGAAAGAAAATTTTTAAAAACTAATCTTACTTTTGTCCTTTTGTTTCTTTTTCCTATAATTCTGAAAATCACTTCAGAATCTGTGATTTGTAGTAGTACTTTATTTTTTTCTTAAAGTTTTTATTTATTTATTTATTCATGAGAGATACAGAGAGAGAGAAAGGCAGAGACACAGGCAGAGGGAGAAGCGGGCTCCATGCAGGGAGCCCGATGTGGGACTCGATCCCGGATTTCCAGGATCAGGCCCTGGGCTGAAGGCGGCACCAAACCGCTGAGCCACCCGGGCTGCCCATGTAGTAGTACTTTAGAGTATATTTGCATCCTCAGATGTCCTGAGTGACTTTGATGCTTATCATATTACTTTGTCCTTGTACTCAGAGCAGCTGGTATTTATGGAAGTTATATTGGTGGTGATTGACTGTTGATCCTAGAGCCAAATGACCATGGTTTAGATCCCAACTCTTCCACCTATTAGCTAAGTAGCCTTAAGGAAGTTTCTTAATCTCTCTATGGCTCAGTTTCATCTGTAAAATTGGTATAATAATAGAACATACTTCATGATAGAATTTAAGGAGTACTGTGAGCTTGATATGTGATAAGCTGTTTTTGTTTTTGTTTCAAATTTTTATTTAAATTCTAGTTAACATACAGTGTAATCTTGCTTTCAAGAGTAGAATTTAGTGATTCATCAGTTACATATAATACCCAGTGCTCATCCCAACAAGAGCCCTCCCTAATATTCATCACCCAGTTAGCCCATGCCTCCACCCACTGCTCCTCCAGCAGCCCTCAGTTGGTTCTCTGTAGTCAAGAGTCTCTTATGGTTTGCCTCTCTTTTTTCCCCCATGTTCATCTGTTTTGTTTCTTAAGTTCTACATATCAGTGAAATCATATGATATTTGTTTTTCTCTGACTTGTTTCACTTAGCATCATACAGTCTAGTGCTATCCATGATGTTTCAAATGGCAAGATTTCATTCTTTTTGATGGCTGAGTAATATTCCAGTGTGTGTGTGTGTGTGTGTGTGTGTGTGTGTGTGTGTACGTGTACATACCACATCTTCTTTATCCATTCATCTGCCAATGGACATTTGGGCTCTTCCCATCATTTGCTGTTGATGCTGCTGCTGCTATAAATATCAGAGTCTGTGTATCCTTTGGAATCAGTATTTTTGTATCTTTTGGGTAAATACCAAGTAGTGCAACTGCTGGGTTATAGGGTAGTTAGTTCTATT